TAGATTACTAGAATTATATGATCTATTGTAATTTTTCTTTCTTCTCCATTATTCTTGATTCAATAAAATCTCTTAATTCATCTGTCATATTCTTGTCTTTATTATTCTTTTGTTTGATCATATACTTTATTATTATTTGCCATATAATTTCAATATCTCAATCCGGTGATTTGTTTCACAACAATTTGTATCAGAACTATTCTGATATCTTGTTTGTTTTACAACAATTAGTATCAGAGCTTAGGTTCAGCAGTTCCGCAAGAGCGCAGGGTTGATTTGTTCGAAATTTTTGTTCGTGATGGCTTCTATGAAGTATGACATTCCACTTTTGGATCGAAGCACTAAATTTTCACTATGGCAAGTTAAGATATGTACAGTACTCGCACAGTTGGATTTGGATGATGCGTTGCTGGGAATTGACAGGATGTCCGCAACTTTGACCACATAGGAGAAATTGCGGAAGGATAAGAAGGCAGTTTCTCACATTCATCTTCATCTATCAAATACTATTCTACAGGACGTTTTGAATGAGAATTCAACAGCTGCTTTATGGTTGAGGTTAGAGCAATTGTGCATGACTAAAAGTCTGACAAGCAAGTTGAACCTCAAACAGCGTTTATACTCTCATCGGATGGCAGAAGGAGGATCATTTGAAGATCACCTGGCTGTATTTAAGGAGATCGTCGCTGATTTGGAAACTTTGAAAGTAGAGTATGATGGAGAAGATTTGGCATTGAGCATATTGTGTTCGTTGCCCACTTCGTTTTCTTCATTTAGAGACACAATCTTGTATAGTCGTGATACTCTCATTATAGAGGAAGTGTATGATGTTTTGTATTCAAAAGAGAAGATGAAGCATCTGGTTTCTGAGACCAGAGATGGAGAAGGCCCGATTGTTCATGGTGGTTCTGGAAGGGGCAGATCGAAATCTAAGTTCAGAAATCAAATTTGTAACTACTGCAAAAAGAATGAGCACTTAAAGAATGATTGCTACAAATTGCAGAATAAAGAAAAATAGCTCCAAGTGGATACTCAGATATTTCAAACGAAACAGACCTCGTGGAAAACATTGTAAGTAATGGAGATCTCTTAGCTATTTCTGACATTGAGTCTAAACTGGAAGATGATTGGATTCTTGATTCAGCATGTGTGTTTCATATGTGTTCTAATAAGGACTTGTTTGCTACATATGAAACTGTTTTCAAAGGTGTCGTGGTTATGGGAAACAACGCATCTTGTCGGGTTGCTGGAATTGGTACAGTCATATTGAAGCTTTTGGATGGAACAATTAGAACACTTAGTCAGGTTCGACATGTTCCAAATTTGAAGAAAAATCTCATCTCGTTGTATATTCTTGATTTAAAAGGTTATGAGTTTTTTGATGGAGGTAGAGCTTTAAAAGTTTGTAAGGGTGCCCAAGTTGTATTTGAGGGACAAAAAATGTTTCATTTATACATCTTGCAGGGTCGTGCAGAATTTAGAAGAGTCAATCAGTACAAGTTCAGGACCGTGGTGCAGTTTGGTACAATAACTTTAGGAGATCAAAAATGGTCGGATTTGAAGAATACAGTTCAGTGAAGTTCGGGAGATATGGATAATGCCGCTTTGCCACCATCACCTGCGGTGCCATTGTATTCAAATGCTAGGGACGGACCCAATGGAAAAG